CTTACCTGTAATTTTTCTCAGGATAATTTCATTGGGCGAGCACCCGACGCTCAGGGAAACTACCTCGCACTAGGAGAGCACGAAGCTCCTGCGCGTCGCGTCTCCTCGTGGGAGGTGATTTTCGCTCAAGCCTGCACGCCTAGGCCAACAACCACGCCTATCATATTTGTAAAGCTTATTTGGCAATCAGATCAGCTATCCGTTTGGAAGAGAGATAAGATGTATTGGGTACGAGATTACCCGAAGAGTACAAATCAAACTGCCTAAGTTAAATCAAACAAATAGCATACTGGTCTTACCTTTGAACAAAATATATAATAAAATAAACGTCATTTAAGCGAAAAGAATTTCAGTTATTTTCAAACAAACGTTTCTACATTGCTTTTTGTTTTCGTAGGCATTTACGAAAGTCTTCGACATCCTTTGGAGTTGAAAAGAACAAAAACAGACGATTCCACTGACCACTACTCGGTAACGGAAGAGAAAGCAATCTCTCAAAGCCTTTCTCCATCACAAGATGCATGGCGTCGTGGAAAGAGGTTACTATTGACAACGGTTTTGTTTATATCAGGAGCCATTTTCATATTTGCAGCATGCCATAGAAAATACAGCCAATCCGAGTACAGGATAGCCGTTTTGTTCTCGACCGTATTACACCTAATCGTCCCATCGTGCACTGCGTGTATGTCAACCACTGTATTTATTATGGCACGGTATAAAATAGTTCAAAAGGTTTGTTTGTATACCGAGTGACTCGTGGGATATTCCATTGAATGCCATTCGAAAGAAAAGGCAGCGGATACGATGCGACATTAAAAGCGGAGGTTATTTTTCATCGCTTTGGAACGTTTGCCCCCGAAATAATGCAAGTAGATGTATGTTTTTGTAAGTAATGAAAGTATTGACATGTAGGTAGCGTAAGTAACCGTTGTCAATAGCAACCTCTTTCCACGACACCATGCATCCTGTGATGGAGAAGGACTTCCTAGATGGATGTAGTGGCTGCCATCTTTGTAACTCATAATTTTAATTTCTTTTATAGGACTTTTATGTATATTATTTTTAGATAGTTTTAGTTAGATGTCCCCTATTAGCAGTGCGGATTCTCTACTGCTAGATTTAATTGACACGCTAATAAAGTCATTATTATTACATTGTAATTAAACAATACAAGCATTGTATTGTAATTAGAGTATAGTATTGTTACTGGCGTAAGTATCTAAAAGTGTGAGTAAGTTTTACAAGTTTTGTATTGTAAGTAGCCTATTGTTTAGTGGTGTACGTAGCTCGTTAATAAATAAATTAAAAAAGTTTGCCCCCGAAACAGAACGGGCATATCACACAAAATAGAGCGTACAGGAAAACTGTCGCTGCAACATGTCCTTGCAACATGTCACCTTGTGTGTTCATGATTAGTAAGGTGCGTGGAGACACTTACAGTTGTATGCATTGACTTAAACAACGTGGTAAGGACTGGTCAAAAAGTGTAAGGAGTCCGGAGCATTTGAGAATGTGGTGGATAGAAAACGCGTGACCCGCCCCTTGCATTTGCTACAAAACTGAGTGATCCCCCCGCAAATTAATGAAGTTTGAACAATACATGACCCACCCCCTATAAAACATGAAATTTTTGGATCGCATAGTCCAGCAAAATTCCAACAAAATTACATTTTGTGTATGAACTTGTGGTGTAATAGACCTTTTAGATATATTTTCTAACAATAATACAAAAGCATCTAAAAATAATAGTTTCCCTTTGCTCCTGTAACTTCCAGGTCATGTTCGTTAACTCTACCGAAAACTTGACAGTAACCTTGCACACTCGGCCTCCGGCCTCGCTTCGCGTGGAACAGTTATCCATCTAGAAAAAGGTTGTAGTGAGTCCTGAGACTCACACAGCCAGCAAACTTCGAGACCCAGGCTCAAGGATGTGTGTCCTAGACCGATAAACTTGAGTCCCGTACGCTTGTAGATAAATAGCGTGTAGACACAAGTCGGCCATTTGGTGTTCTTGGAGACCAACATATCGAAAGAACGCAGTCAGTTGGACAACTTCAGCACTAGCACTCCTTGCTCACTACGTTAGACTTCTTAGCTTTCGTACAGATTCACAACTCATAAGTTATATTTTAAGTAAAGACACAAAAGAGGGCTAAGAGTTTATTTGTTTTCACATAATAATAATTTCGGCTCGATGCGTACAAAATTTAAATGTATGACCAACTGTTCCATGTTCCAATAATATCAAGGCTTTGATTATAAAAGAAAAAACATTTCTTTTTAAATGTGTGCCAATATACCAATTAATATATTAAAATTCTGCCTAAAACAATAGACCTCGGCACGAGGCTCCGGGGAATAAACCCCACAAACTCTGTAGCTATTCCTTAGAGTCTCGTGCTAAAATCTATTGCTTTAGGCTGAATTTTAATACATCGAAATTGGTCTATTTCTGTTATAAAATAGGCTGACCAACCCCACAATGGGTGGCTAAAAATTGAACGATCCAACCCATTACCAATGGCTCAAAAACTGATGACCCAGCCCCTCGCTGCTCCGGCACACCACCCAATACTTTTTGACCAGTCCCTAACAAATGATTTAAAACGTTGTACGACTCTCACTGATACATTAAGAATCTTTCATGTGAAATCATTCTAAGAATTAAAGTGAAGACAGAAGCAACATAAACATCTCATCACTTTCATTTTAGCCTGCCAGCAGGCTGACCTTTGAATCGCAGCAAGAGACAATGATCTGAGAAACCACATCCCCCATGCCATACATGGGCCTCTTTTAATGATAATCTTTTTCAGTCTAATTTTAGCGCGTGGTCAAACCGCGAGACTATTATTTTTACCTCATTTTCTCTTGATAGCATGCGTGAGCGAAAGGCGAAATGCTCATTTTACATCACTGTGTACATTAACACAGGAACGAAATTATCAATAAAATATTTAATTATTTATTATTTGTCATGTGTTTCTACCTTTTATGTTTGTTGACGAAACCTTGGTGTGCGACCATTAAAATGAAAGTTATTGAGCGGTATTTTCATGTGGTACTGTTTATTATGCTGTACAAGGTGGCTCTAACTTCTAAGTCTGTGTATGAAACCCTAGTGTTGCATTGCGCATATTCCGTATCGTTCTTAAAAGATCTATGCGTTTTCAAGGCGACATTTTATAACAAGAAGACTTAAAATATGCTTGTGCCTATTTTTTTGTTTTCACTTAATTCAGTCATATGAAGTACAGGGCTTTTACTATGGCTTTCCACCATGGCCAGACCGAGCTTTGTAAGATGTTAATAAGAACGTAGCGTTTGCCGTGCATAGTCTCCCTAACTTTATTACTCCCCTTACACCACCCTTAAAAAGCCATATTTTATTTTGCATGAACCCTCTCATATTGACCACCAGCCCCACCCTCCTATAAACCTAGTAAAAAATGAACAGTTCCTAACTCCGTGACACAGTTACATACTAAGAATGGAAGGAGGAAGCGCGTGCTTAACTCAAGCATAATTATATTCTAGAAGTTATATGATTTGTATGGGTATTCAAATGATTTCGCATACAATTTGGAAAGATAAGCACAAGTAAATTTTTCGAAGACAAATTTGAATTGAACCCGTAGGGCGAGTGAACTTTGTAGTCTTTAAAAAATTTAAGAGTGCTTATTTATTTCAAATTCCACGAGAAAAACCATTTGATTGCTTGTTAATAGTATGATAATAGTTTGATTACAACTTTCTGCACTCAG